CGCAATTCTCGCCGAGGATAAGGAAGAAGGATGAAAATCGCCGAAGGCGATTTGCAGTGCAAATACTTGAGCGCTCGGGAGCACCAGCGGATCGTAGGAGAAGAGGAGGGTTGAAAGTGCCTACAGTGCGCTCAGCGGGGTGGGGGCTCGGGTGAGATAGAGCCGAGGAAGAAAAGCGGTAATATCTTGGGTCTTCGAGTTAGTGTTCTATCCGCGAACGGTCCGCGTCCTCCTGGCCGGCGTCCTCCTCCTCGTCTTCCTCCTCGGATCTTCTGAGAGACGTTTCGAGCGTTGGCCTCCGCCACACAACGGCCCGTAAGTACGCACGCGACTTCGATGAAACGCGCAAACTCGCACTTTTATTCCGCAACCGCGTGTTCAAAGCCTCCTTTTCTTCGACTGGTCCCGAAGAAAAAAAAGAAAAAAAAAAAGAAAATAAGAAGGAAGAGAGGAGGATATATTCTCCTCTCGTTACTCCTCGTTGCGAAGTGCGAAATTTCATACGTTCACATTCCGCCAATTTCATCATTCATATCCGACGTTTCTGCGTACGCCATTATCGCTTCCTCAGCTGGTATTATCTTTGGCTGAAGTTTGCGATTGCCAAATGTCAAAAGTTACAAGTCAAGGCGACTTCCGAAACACGTGTAATTGACTCGGCTTCAAGACTTAAGGGGATGCTGGACTTGTTTGTGTTATCGGCAAAACGCACTGATTTTTTTTTGCATTGCTCTCATTTTTTATTAACTTTATACATCTGAAAATCCTTTTTCACAATTAAAGTTAATGCATTAATACGCTAGCATATGAATTTCGCATCGAGAACGAGAAAAATTTTTTAAATTTAGATCTTTCTTATATCATTTGATTGACTTTAAAAATGATGTCCAAAACTGTCAAGTTTCGCATCAATATTTGCTTTATAGAAACATTTTACAGCCTGTACCTATAAAACAGATATTGCTAGACTAGAAGATTACATGAAGAAACAACGTTGAGTTCTTAGAAATTAAGCTAGATACCTAATATAAGGCAAAAGAGCAATACGAAAATTTGTTCATATGTGTATCACGTGTGTACAGAAACGTATGATGAGTGTCTGTATGTATACATAAATGTATTATGTATGTTTAGATGTGCATATGTGAATGACGTACGTTTTCGTCGGAGTTCGCTCGTCAGTCCGAGATCCCCTTAAATGAAACGTTCATTCAGTGCGACCGAGAAAGAAAAAAAAAAAACCAGGATCCATGCGGATCTGACAACTCGATTTCCAGATTCGTCGTCGCCATACGAACTTTGCTGAAGAGAGGCAAGTGTCTTCTTTTTTCCCTCTCCGTTCATCAGAGAACGATATCGAGGATTCTCTAAAAGATTGCGAGGGTCGCAGAAAGCTAATTAACTAAGATTAATCACAAGTAGCAATTTTTTTTTCAATTTTATCGTAATTAATGGCGTACGCGCGAGAGTCGGAGATATCGTACGGCGGATAAGCTCAAATGATAAAAGATGAAAAATTAAGAGGAGATGCTGCATTCGCATGGTGTGATTAGTTATCTGTCCAGGCACTAAAAAAGATCGCGCTGTCAAGTCCGACAAACGTTCTCGTACGAGCGTAACCGATCGTAAAATCGACGAATGATCTTCTCAATTGCGACGAGGAGTCAATGAGGACGCACGAGAATAATATCCGCAAAATCGACCGTTACTACGCAAAACCATGAACCTCCGCTCATCGCTTTCATCGCACTTACAATTCAATAGACGTCTACTTGACTTGAAGCCGAAGTAATTTTCACGCTTGTTAATATCTTTCACATCAGTCGTCTCGTTTCGTGGAACGCACTAACGCTAAAAGTACCAAGATGATCGAAGATGATGAAAATTTTCTGATTTTAATATTCCTTCGGAATAAAGAGAATGTAAAATTCGCGAAAAATTAAAAAAAAAATTGTGTCTTGTGTAAACGTGAGGAAAGAATTAAATTAAAAGGAACGACGACTACGCGATATTTTTAGTGTTAAAGTGAGAGATTATGCCTCGCTTCTGAGAAAACATGAAAACCTTCTCTTCCGTGAGGAGACTTTCGCTTCTCTCGCTGGATCGCTTAGCCGTTGCATATGCATTGTCTCTCGCTCGAGTCTTTCGCTCGTGTCTTCCTTTTTTTCGCCGCGCGCTTCGGAACTTTTGCTACTCCGGCTTCGTCAGACACGACCGTCCTCCGCGGCCCGACCGGGATTTGCCGGGATCGACGGGAGCGACGGGAGCGAAAGGTCGTTGTCCCGTTTTCCGGCGGTGTTTCCGAACGACGGGGAATTAGCGGGCTCTAAATCGTTTGATCGAGACTTTTGCGAAGAGCGTGCGACAAGAACGCGCGCTAAAAATATATCTCTAGAGAGAAGGCACGTGCAGTCGGGGTGGTCAAATACACTTGTGGCCTCAGGCGCAATCGTGGCCGTACGTTCGATAATTTTTCGCCTCCAAGCGCGACGATATACACTCAAGTGAGGTTTTTTTTCCTTTCCGAACAGCCTGGCTGTTTTCGCAAACGCGTTCGATTATTTAAAATAGACTCGATTACTTAAAAATACTCGTCGCCGAGTCCTCGAGCGCTTTATCTATTTTAGTATTATATTTCGCTGATAAGAATTCCGATCGCTCGGTCACTTGGCGTGAAGTTGAGACATTGAAAACTTTGAAAATTCTTTGTAATTGGTGCTCTTACCGTAATTATCATAAATATGGATTCTTATCATAATTAATGGACTTGCGCGATATATTAGAAATCGGTATCTCTTCGCTTCCTTCGCATTCATATTCAACAGTGTTAAACAACAACGATGGATTTTTCATAATAATTGCACGCGTGATGAATTTCAATTTTTGCGTAATCATCGCGATTTATGTCGCAATCACGTCATGCACGGGAATGTTGCGTATATCCGTCAATCTAAAATTAAATATACGTCGTTTTTCCCGTTCGTCTTTTAACCGAGCGAACTTCTGGGACATAATTTATATAAGTCACAACAGCGCAGGTGGCGATTTACCTGAGAGACCTTTGACCTCGCGTATTTTATCTATTTGATAAAATAGATTTTTTATCTATTTGATAAAAAAGATATCTGTAAACAATTTTTAATTTTCGAAAACACGGGGAGCATCGGGTATCGACATATTAATTAGACTTTCTCATTTTAAGACCCTTTTTATATTTGTTTTCGGATAGATTTTCTCTATTTCTACGCAGACGAAATCTTTTGCGACTTAATAGCATTATTAAAAACACATAATAATAATAGCGATCTTTTGTAATCGCGATCGAAGATAAATTATTTCACGATATCGTTAATATTTAAAGATATACTCGTTGATCGCGTGATGCAAATGTTGTAGTCAGCCAGCTCAGTATTCTTTGAATTGTCGCTTTTTTTTTCTTACAATGAAATAGACAATTAACGATTCTCTCATGTACATATTGATTTAATTAATATATACAATACTTAGTATATTATTATACGAATTGAACATATTATAGATAACATTATAATTAATCAGCTACTTTTGTAGAAATAGATTTCTAGTCGAGGGGACATTAACTCACAATAATGTAATTTTTTTTTATTTTTGCATATTTATTTACATTCGCATATTCAGAAAAAAGATACATATCAAACATCAAAGATACATATAGCATATCAGGAACATTAAATAATATGAGAGGCCTCCTTTATATAACTATAATAACGCTGCATAATGACAGCTATTTAAAAAATAAAATCTACGTGTCACATCTTATAAACATACCTACAAGAATTGCGAACAAAGTCCGCAACGTTTTTCCATATTTTTTAGCATCTTATTTATAGCATCTTTATTAGCAGTTATTTCCCAATAATCTTCCAGCATCCAGTCATTTCTAACGTCAATAAGTATGCAGGTAGTTTGTTTGTGTCTCATATGGAAATATTTTCTATTTATTATTCATACGCCATCGTTACGAGCCCATTGGGAAAGATGTTCGCAAGAAAGAGGTACATATTTTTTTTTTTATTATACAGCAGTAATGTCTTCGAGAATTTTATTACTTATCCTTTGGTCCATAGCAGACGTAATAGTAGTCCGTCGTTTCAACAGGGATACTGTCCATAATTTGGTACTCGGTTCAAAATCATGCATTATTCACATCACATCGACAATAATAAGGTACGATACATCATGCAATCGTCCACGCGAGAGAGGAAGAAAGGAGAGGAGCGAAAAGAAAAAGAAATCGATGACAGCGATCGATGCAACATTGGAGTAGAGTGCATCTCGACGAGCGAGGAGGCATCTCGGTAGAGCGAATTCATTACGCGAAAAATTACGGGAAGGAAGATGACGCGATCTCCGGTGCGAAAGTCCAGCTCTCCGAATGTCCGCGTCTCTCTCTCTCTCTCTCTTGGACTTTGTGCACATTACTCCGCTCTGTGTTCACACAATTCATCATTCGCTTATCTGTCAATGCAGCGGGCGTTTAAGGAGGACACAGTCTAAATACGATCTTCCTCCTCCCCCCCCCGCCCTCCGATGAAAATTTCGTTGCGCGCGCGTCTGTCTCAATATCAAGTGAAAAGCCCCTTCCTCGAGCGTGCGATTCTTCATCGTGGGCGCGGAAAACACGTAACGATAACGAGCGATGTGTTTTCTACGATCGACGGCGCTGATTCGTCCCGGGCACCGACTATCTTCCTTTGTTTCCCGACCAACGCGTTCAAGTGCGTATCGCCGTATCGTCGTTGTTCAAACGATCCCGCCGTATCGTGCGAAACGCGACTCCGCGTTCCGTTCTCGTTTTCCGCCGTCCGGTCATCCCGCGCACGGAATTTGCAAAATTGACGAAAATCAGCGGCGAGGAAAGCGTGCGATCGTCTGTCGAACATTCGACATTCCTCTCGTTCGCAGTCGGCGGCTTTCGATTGTCAATCGACTGACACCTGCTACCTGTAAGTTTGATATCCCTTTCTTTTGAAAATTGAAACACAAAAGAAATTATATATTTTTAATATAATTAATATGTAACTTAATATATAAATTGAAAATTGAAAAATTTTTAGAAAGAAATTATATTTTTAATATAATTAAATTTTGGTCATTGAAGCTGTATTTATTCATGTGTATGATAACATCGAAACAAAAACTTTTTAAAAAACGAGTCTCTGCAATTTAAAATATTTTCAAATTATTAATGGCACATTTCTTAGGCAATTTAAAATTTTTTTTTATAAAAGAGAAGATGGTTAAGATATCGATAGTTTATATATTATGAAGAAATTAAAAAAGAAAAGGTTTCTCGCGAACTTAATTTCAGAAAGTTAGGCAGATAAACAAGTTCTATTAATTTTATATATAGGCAAAATTTTATTAGCATGATTTCAATGTAATTAGAAGATGGAATAAAAATACGATAATAAAATCGCAGTAGCAATTAAATAACAGAAAAAGTGATTACGTCTGTATTTGCGTTGATATTTGCGTTTTAATAGTTTCATCGAACAATATACCTATCACTGGTCTTATAACTAATGCGTCATTTATGATAAAAAATATTGTTAGTACGCAGAACTCCTTCACATGATAGATTTAATTAATAAAAAAGAATCGACGCAAAAAAACATTTGATCAAATAACATCAAATCGTTGTAGTAACATGTGTATGTAACAATGTAACTTGCAACATCAAAACGACAGTTTCAACATTTTAACTTTAAATAATAATTATACTGTTGTTAAATGTCATACATCATATTGTGCACAAAACGCGCACAAACTAATTTCTTAATTAACAAGAAACGTCAAAGAAAATTCAATCTTCGTTATCTGACACAAGACATTCCTAATACATTCTTTATATATTCTTTACACATTCTTTAAGACATGTTCTCAAATATCATATCGTATTTCCAATCTTCCCGAGTGTGCTGAACTTTCTCAAATGTTTCGCGAAGTAAAGGCTTTATATATTCTTTACACGTTCTTTTTTTTTTTTTATTATTATTAAACTTTTATCAATTTTTTTTAACTAAAATTAAAAAAAAATTAGCTTTTCTATGTAATAAGGAAATTAAGAAATTGAGAAAAAAGAAAACTTTCAGAAAGAAGAAAACTTTCAAGAAAAAAGAACTTTTAGTTTAAAAAAAAATTAAAAAAAGTTAAAAACAAAACAAAACAAAATAATCCGACGTCCCAAATTTCAGATGTGATAGAAGTTCTCTTGGTTAAGAGATAAAGTCACAACGCTTCCTCCTTTATCGCTCATGTTCCTATGAAACCTGTAATCAGAGTAAAAACTGGTCCGATAATATAACGTCGTCCACGTCTGTCTTTCATGTACGTACGTAAATTTTCTCAACCGTAAAAAGCTGATGAACAGGTATACTTCAAATTACGCATACTATGTTCTACAGTGCGTGATGCCTTCCTTAAAGGTATCCCATAGCTTTCACCTCTCGCTTGCGACATCCGCAACAACGCACGTGTTCATTAAATTGCAACGAAAAAAATATATATATATTCTCTAACTTACCATTACGCTTCTCGATTTATCGTTGAAAAATTTTCTTTCAACTTCCTGTTAAGATAAAAACGATCGGTTTTTACGATCGGATATTCAGACCGGGAAGAAGTCCAAGGCGGTAGATTATCATCAGTGCTTTCAATTTATCGTTGGCAAATACTGGATTTCTTAATTTCCTATTACGTAGAAAGGCTAATTCTTTTTCTCGTAGTTTCTTGTTGACGCTGACAAGGCAAATTTCTCTTTTTCTACATTCTTGTGTTTATACACTTATTACATTAACGAAATTATTTCCAATTAGACTTATGCTGTTGATTCAACAGCATATTTTTCTCAGTGTATATTAATTTCATTCCTAAAACTTTTTGTTTGAAGCGAGATTGAAAAGGTCGTGACACATAAGAAAAACTTAAGCAGTAAGAAAAGTGATCTGTGCAGAGCACAGACGATTATTTCCTCGATCATAAGAAGAATAATTAAATGTCATTAGTAAATTTTCTTATTATTTAAGTCCTACTTAAATTTTGCTTAAATTTTTCTATATGCCCTTCGCGAAACATTTGAGAATGTTCAGCACATTCGGCAAGATTGGAAATACGATAATGAAAATTGAAAACATATTTTCCAATGTTCGATAATAACAAGTGCGACGTAAAGAGCACACGATCGTGAAGACCGTCCCGGATTGGAAGTGCGTGCACTGAGAAAGAGATTTATTGACTGCTTCTCGAGAGAAGGAGAATGGCGAGAATTACAAATCCGAATGAAAAGGCTTGGCGTTATCCGCGCACTACGCGATGACGTCAAGCCTACCGTCAAACTCGCGTGTACAATAATGCTAAATATTTTTACTTCGTAATGCTTATCGCGGTTTATAGTTTACATAGGAGAGCATACATTGCGTAATGGGGCATCATTATTTCCCATATTGACGACGCGAAATTTGTTTTTCTTCTTCTTCTTCTTTCGGTACGCTGCGCGGCACGCTGCGAAGTTCGTGATAATATCTTTGACGCAAGTACTATCTCTCCTCTTTTTCTCCTTTATTGCGGATGTCCCGCTAAATTGATATAGGCAATACGTTAACTTATTACGAAAACAGCGCGATGTTTGTCCGCGTTCGCGGCCAGATAAAAGAATTCGGTATTAGCTCCTTGGCATGCGGCAATTCATTTGCGATTAGATAAGATTAACGATTAATCTGTCAAATGAAATCATCACAAATTACTGGACTTAGCACTCTCGGAATGTAATCAGAGTAATACAATTATATTGCCGAGGATCTGACGTTTCTCATTATCGGGAAAATCGTCACAGCAGAAATTTACTCATTTTTCGTGAAATCTTGATCCTTTATAATTATCGTCTGATTATTCATTCACTTTTTTATTCATTTCATGCTACAAAAAGTGGGGGGAAATTTTATTTTTCCAATTTTTTTATCGTTTTTTAGATTTTAAGCGAATGTCATGTATCAGTGGATAATTGATATGACATGATTCATCTCATTGAAATTCAAATGAACGCGAACTACTAATTTAATAACTAATTCAATAAAAATTTATACATGCGGAAAACATTTAGCAAAAAAGGGAAGAAGCTAATAAAAATGCATGCACTTTGAGATATTATTAATTTGAAATAAAAAGAACATTTTTTACTTCGATCATAAATCATCGTGAAACAAATTTTGTGCCATGGACAACCGATAGTATGTTGTGTGTAAATCTGTATGCACGTATTGTCTAGACATCCTACCATTAATGAATGATCACGAAAGAATCAGGCAGAGAATTATCTTGCAAATACAAAGCTACCTTTGTCCCTCGTGTAAAGTAACGCACGTACGAGACGTAACGCAATGTTAAGGAATTTAGTAAATGATCTTGAGAACTTTTATTTAAGATACGATACACTTGATGAATTGAGACGAGGATGTTTTCACTTTGAGTTTCTGACGAAAATTGATTTTTGTGTGCAAGACGAATCTTTATTCAAGACGAGATAGGCGGTACTTTCATTGATACAATAATGTAACGCGTTTCTGATATGAAACATGGTGATTGAAGTAGTTTTCTAAAAGAGAAATAATGTGAGAATTGAAAAATGTATTGATATGTATTGCGATGATTTGTTTGGATAGGATAAGTAGTAATAAATCTCGTAATTGGGCCCCGTAGTGAAAGTTTGTCAGGATAATTGTATGGATCTTATTTGTTGCGAAAAAAACTATTTTAATATCGGGACACTTAAAATTTACTTGACAAGAAAAAGGAGTAAGGGAAAAAAAGAGTTCTCGAATATTGAGTTGTATCACGTAACAGCACGCATAGAATTCAACCAAAGCAAATTTCTTTTAAGCAAATTCGAAGTGGATTTTATTTATTTTTCTTTATTGTCCAGATTATACAGAATATCGAAAAACAAGTTATATTTCAGTCAAGTCAATGAGATTACATCAATGCGATATATAACAGCAAAACAGAAAAATTAGCGGGGCAAATTTAAGCAAAAAAAAGCAATTATATAACACAAAAGAAGGCAGAATGACGTACGAAAAATGTATCGATATGTATTGATATGATAAATATTCTTATCCTTATGTTAATAATAAATTTATATTGAATATAGTTGAGAGAAAACAAACACTCTGTGCTAATTTGATCGATAGGAGATCCCGATAACACATTAGAGTTTTTCAGTAATCATTAACATATGAAATCATCTGTATAAAGTCTACTCTGTCTATTTTTCTCTCTTAAGGAAAAAAAATTTATAATATCAATAAAAATTTGTTCAATTGGTTCAATTTGTTCAAAATTTCCAAAGTTATAAGTTTCTACAATTTTGCGAAACGAAATTTGATATGTTCAAAATGTCGCTTTAAAATCATAAAATTATCTTCAAATCGTCAATTGAGCATGAGTCGGTCCGGTTATAGCATATGCCATGTGTCAGTCGTCTTCCCGATTCAAAAGGGACAACACGCGGGATTTTCTCGAAAATCCGCGAGAATAATACTCGAAATCAGCTCGTTGATTTTACCTCCAAACTGGAACAACATATCTATCGGAATATAAATGGTAAGATAAACCGCGACCGGAGGTCTACTTCAGGTTTAACAGTCATTATTATCGGTTTACCTTCGAAGAAACAATTAGAACGGTCGCCGTAGGTAATTCTTTTTACAGCCGTGTCGCTTAATATCGATATCCTTGCCCCTACTCGTGTCCACGTGACCCTTGGACCATCCGTTTTATTGATGCGGATTCCCCGATGATCATGCCCCGCTGACTCTCTGTTCCAGATCGTTTGGGTTGACGCAGATGAGCGTTCGAGCATAATCGGCCGCTATCGCTCGATCGGTTCGCACAAAGCGCGCACAACGATGGAGGTATTGATGCACGAGGCGAGCAACCGGCGGGAAAACGGCACAGACGCACTGGTCTGTATAGCCGAGCCTTCGAGATTCGCGTCCAACGAGAAGCGAGAGGACGTCGACATGGCGCCCAATGTCGCCAGCGTCGATGGCAAGGAATCGGTCGACATCATCTTCGAGAACATCACCTACACCGTCAGCCTCGGTTTCAGAAAAGGTGAACGATCTTGACTTCACTTCTCTGTAGAGCAACGAAGATCAACAAATTATGTAAATCGCGATGTAAATCGATGTGAGGAGAGAGATTTCATTATTTCTCTCAAATAATAATAGGTAAATAATGAAATTGTCGACGGAAATCTTCTGCTTTCTGCAAGATGACGATAATTTTTTTATCTCAAATATTTTATTTTATTTTATTTATACGCGTGCGCTTAGGCATCTCGCAAACAGTTTATTTCCTACGTAAAGTAAGAGCATTTTATAAGTGATAATTAATGAATTGTAGTCACCCGTAATGATTACAGTTGTTAGAGAAAATCTATTCGAAGAATTTATTTGATGAAGAGTTATGAAAAAAAAAAAATGTTGCTAATGAATTGTGCCTCGCGAGCGCGAGTAATCATCGTATTTTTACATTTCAGGGGAGAAAGAGATCTTACATGGGATTAACGGGAGGCTGCCTAGCAAACAGTTGAGCGCTTTGATGGGACCATCCGGCGCGGGGAAATCCACGTTACTCGACGTTTTGTCGGGTTTTCGCGTCTCAGGGGTGGACGGTGTCGTATACGTCAATGGCCGCGTTCGGCATCTTAATACCTTTCGAAAGTAAGCCGTGGCCTTTGATTTCGTCAACTTCGTCGAATTTCTTCAAATCAGCAATTTGTACGCGTGAGAGGAGAAATCTGGAAGCTGTTCATACATTACGCGTGTCGAATCCGTGTGTCGAGGCGTTTGATGTCTCTTTAAATTTTCTTTAAAATCTCTCGATACCGACCGCTTCGAACATTGATCCCGTCGATTCATGCCGTTCTAACGGTTCATTAATCCCTTTCCAGATGCAGCGCGTACATCACGCAAGACGATCGATTGGAGCCCCTGCTCACCGTGATCGAGAACATGAGGGTCGCCGCCGATTTAAAGCTGCCATCGAGCACGCCGAAGCACAAGAAGGAGATGATCGTACGTGCAAATTTATTGGAAATTATTTCTATATCTCATTCAAAAAGAAATTAATACGGTAATTTATTGAGAAGAGGGAGAAGATAGGGGCCATCAGAGGCTAACTGAGATGTCATAATTAATATTAATTATTACTCGAAGCAAATAACTTGATGCGAAAATTCATGCGTATCTCACTGAGTAATCTGCATACTGATACTAACTTGCATACTGATACTGCGAGACAAATAGAATCTAATTTAAAATAAACGTTTACCTTTGTACGAATTAACGAGCTAATTTAAAGTAAATTATAGCAGTTTATTATATGAGATTAATTTGCATGTGTTTCAGATTGAAGATATTCTCACGACACTTGGCTTGTACGAACACATGTATACTAGGTCCGATCGATTAAGCGGCGGCCAAAAGAAACGACTTTCTATCGCATTGGAATTAGTTAATAATCCTACAGTGATGTTCCTCGACGAGCCCACAACGTAAGTACAATGATTTACTTTTAGCGGTCGTTCGATAGTCTGTCTGACTTTCAGCAGCTAATATTTGCTAGTTTGAAAGAAGACTTTACTTATTAATAAATATCTTTTTCCACTTTTCATTAAATTTTTATACTTATTTTTATACTTATTTTTATACTAATTTTTATACTTATTTTTATATTCGTTTTAACAGAGGCTTGGACAGTTCATCTTGCATGCAAGTCGTAAACTTGCTGAAAATATTGGCGCGACAGGGAAGGACAATAGTTTGCACCATTCATCAGCCCAGTGCGTCCTTGTTTCAATTGTTCGACCAGGTAAGTGAAACGTCATCGTCACTTGACTTCTATGTCAATTTTTATTTTTAAAATTGTATTTTTATGCATTTGGAAAACTAAAATTTTTTCAGGTATATGTATTAGCAGAGGGAGACTGTCTGTATCAAGGAGCAACGAATAAGCTTGTGCCGTATTTGACACATATGAAATTACCGTGTCCCATGTATCACAATCCGGCAGATTATAGTACGTATATAATAATTTATTCTTTAACAAGTTATTCGAAAATTTTGTCAGATTTACTTTGAATTATTTCTCCTGGCATATTTGCAGTAATCGAGCTTGCCTGTGGCGAATATGGTGAGGATAAGATTGAGATATTGATAAAGGGATCGCAAAATGGAAGAAATTTGCAATGGTTTGACAATCCAGAAGCTCTGAGAGATGCTAAAAGCTTAAGAGGTATGAAAAGAAATTAAAATTATATCATTAAAATTATGTATATTTGTATTCTTATATTTCACAATTAATTATTTTTAAAATATATTTGCAATGGAGATTCTCTTGACAAAATGTCTTATTTAGTTCTAATTCTCATTTATGTTAAATAGCGTTGCATTAATTAAAAATATATCGTTAAAAAGATTGAATGAATGCATTCTTGATTTATATGATTAATTTATATTTACATCATTTAACCTTTGATTCTTTTCTTGCTTTTCTCAGCGGCGCATCCTCTGAGGGATATGACGGACGAAAACAGCAGCTTACACGCGACAAATCTCGTTCATCAGATCAAAATCTTGCTGAGGAGAGGCTTTATCATGTGTAAACGAGATACGGTAAGAATTGTTTGTTCATCATGTGTCCGAATATACTCATCAATAATGATTTCTTTATCGGCATTTCTCGTGGCATCTTGAAAACTTACACAAAATTTTCCTTCAAAATTACACACAGAAATGCTCATATATATATATATATTTCTGTAATTTTTCTTAACGAAAACGACAAATAAAATCCCGGAAAAAGACTAAGATTTTGAGAATCCAAAGAGTGTCAAGGTATCAAGCGCCGCGGATTTTAACATGAAAAGCGATTCTACGATCGCACGAATATCCGTTTGTACGCGTATCAACATTCACATGTGACGTTGCACATTGTAGACACTGACGCATCTGCGCATCGGAGTTAACATAATCGTCGGCATAATGTTGGGCCTGGTTTTCCTGCGATCCGGCGCCGATGGCTCCCGCGTATTGGACAACTACAATCTCCTCTTCTCAATTCTGATCCACCACATGATGACGACGATGATGCTCACGATAGTGACCTGTAAGTGTCCGAGTCACGTGTTCCCCATAAATCCCCGTTTGCGATGACTAACGGCCCCACGGTGATTTTACCGTCGGTTCGAGTTCACGTAACGGATAACGTCTCTCCTCTGATTTGCAGTCCCGACGCAGATGTCCATCCTCCTAAAGGAGCACTTTAACAGATGGTACAGCCTGAAGGCTTTTTACACATCGATAACGATAATCGATGTGCCACTTTCGATAGTATGCTGCATACTTTTTTCACTGATCGTCTACTTCATGACGGCGCAGCCGTTGGAGATCGTTCGATTTTCTATGTTTCTGGCCATTAGCTTGCTGATAATGTTCATAGGGCAAGGTACAGGTCTCATGATTGGCGCGGTGTTCAATGTCGTGGTAAGCAGGATGTTTCATTAATTGGAATTATTGCTGATGGTTAAGCATAATTCTGATTCGTTCCATACAATATTTGTTGTTCAATTGCGGAGTTAGTGTTTCTAATTAAAATTCAGCATTTAAAGTCCAGTTTAATTGTGGAGTTACTGTTTCTAATTAAAGTCCAGTTTCCTTATCAGGAAAAACATTAATTCTGCATATTATCCATTTTCTTTGATCTTTGACCTCTCCAAGTGTCATTAATTGGCCGTTTTTTATTATGTTATTGATAACAATACAGTTTTTATAATCGCCAGCAGTAATTCGCAGAAATAAAACTTTTTTAATTGTATTTTATTTTTGTCGCGAAATGTCTCATGAAAGTGTGTAATTTTCTGAAAAAAATTAATAAATAAAACTTAATAAAATAAATCTTTACAGAATGGTACATTTATGGGGCCAACGATATCAGTACCACTAATGATGTTCGCCGGCTTCGGTGTTTCATTACGTGATTTACCAAATTATCTCAAGTGGGGTAGTTACCTCTCTTATTTACGATATGGTTTAGAAGGGTAAGTATTATTTTCTAAATTTTAATAGTAAATGTCAAACATATATCAATTTATATTTACGAACTTTACATGATTTAATATGTAATTATAATTTAATTATAATTATAAATTATAAATTAAATTATAATTTAAAAAATATGTAAACTAAAATTATTCGATATTTATAAATCAAAATTTAATTATTCAGAATTACATAAAGTATTGTAGCGTTAATTTAATGTATGACTTTGCAGATACGTCGGAGCCATCTACGGCCTGGACAGACCCATTCTAGAATGCAAAGAGAAGGCCGAGTTGTACTGCCACTATAAATATACCTCCAAATTTCTCTCAGACATCGCCATGAGGGGAGACCAATTCTGGAACGACATTATCGCCCTCACTACGATTCTCCTCATCACACGATGCTGCGCGTATATACTTTTACGATGGAAGCTCGTATCATATCGATAATGTTTATGCGGATAATGTGCGGCTTACGTGTAGCTAAGAGATATATGAGCAAAAATTCGACCAAATAATTTGTAGACGATTTAAAATTTTCCCGGGGCCATATTCGAGTGGCTTTCAAAATGTCAAAATAATTCGGAATAACGTCGGAAAATGGTTCGAATGGGATGAATATGATATTTTTGTTTAGCTACTCGTGTCCGTGATCGTACTCTTTTTACGATCGTACTGTTGTTCGAAACTTGATTGATATTTATGTATAGCGGAAGAAGAGTGCCATGAACGCCAAGCGCTCGATATATAGACATACTCTTTTTGTATATAATTTTGATAGATTGTCCGTTCATAATCTCGTGAACGAATGAGACTGCGTATGTCTGCGTGACAAGCGTATGTACGTATCGAGAAACCTCGAGAATATATACGGCAATAAGTATATGTAATATTATCAATAATCTGTTAGTGGACTCTGCGATAATCATATTTAATTTTTATACTTCAACGTGATATACATGCGAGATGCTATGTAAGGAATTCTGTGAGATACTGCGCGATAACATACGCATTACGTATCAACACGATGAATTGGCAAGACGCTTCCTTGAATGATACACTACTGAACTTATATCAGATCCAATTGCGTTTGTCACAGCATCGACAGCTGGCAATTTTAATCACCCGAGGCTTTGATAAGCACACACGTCGAAGTAAAATGCTAGATTTTCTTAGTCGATTAAAAAGACGATGCAAACTGCGGCCAAATGTGCAAAAATATTTTAAGATATACAGATTTTTAAAGATAATTATTTTAACTTGTGATATTTCTTTAAAGTTGACAATTGAAGTCAAAAATTGTCGAAATCGATATTACGAATTCTATTATTTTATAATATAGAATGTTATGTATTTTATATTTTGAGATATAAAATACTCGATTATTTAAAAAATTTTTCCAAAGTCAATCAATGGTCGTAGTCTTCCAAACTTATGTGTTCCATATATATAATTATTATTACAATGCAATAATATGTTTTTTATTACACTATTATTACTTTTATATTTATGTAGTCATTTCCTATTTTATTGTATTATTTGTAAAAATAATAACTTAAGAGAAAATTTTGGGCTATTCGATATTATTATCGATTTTATCAAAACAATACTAAGATATGATTATTCACTAAGGCATTTTGATGTACTATAGTGCTACGTTTAATTTATTTTATATGACGCTAGTCATAATCAACTATAAAAAATAAATATTATTATATTGTTATTAATGAACGTGTTGCATATTTAAGTATAAAAGTTTGTACATACACAAATTTTTTACATCTTTAATACATTTCTAATCTTTTAACATTCTATTACCGATAAAATTTTAAGTATTCGACGATTTCTCTTTTTTAAAATATATCTTAAAAATATTCTTATTTGAGACAATTAATTTAATTCGTTACTTTTTTGCGTAATAAATTTTCCAGCAAAGTACTGCATAAATAATTATATGTATACAGAGTATCCATGAACCAAGTATTATCAGAATAACGTAAAACGATACTGTTGGCATGCCCATCGTATCGAGAATTTTGTTTGGTGAACGTATGGAGCAATAATATTCCAAGCACGGTAGAATCTCTCGATCAAGATAGATTGCTTGCATTAATCCTTCAAATGCATACCTACAAAACAAATTTCACATTTTTTAAATTCGCCAAACAAATAAATTAAATTGGAAATATAAAGAAGTATGTTTCTACGTGGAATAAACATTGTTGGTAAATAATCGCAAAAAAACAATTTTCATAAAAAAATATTATGTTCAATTAATAATAAATTAAAGTATTAAAAGCCTTGAATTAATAGTCACTGTAGTAAAAAAAAATATGTACCTGTAAAAACTTATAACACCGAAGGGTTGTAAGTACTTCGACATTTCTTCTATTTTCAAGAAAAACCCGGCAAACAGTAATAATGGTATGCTGGTAGCCGGTATTAGAAACATACCTATCTGAAAAAAATTATATTTAATTTTCTACCTTATTGTATTAAATAAAAATGGAACTAAAGTTTAAATCAGCTAATCACTGAAGTAAATTGTCTTATGATTTAATTTATGTTTTTCACATCGTAATATTTTCAATATCGTAAATATTAAAATAAATAATAAAATAAATAAT